TCAAATTAATCACTATCTAATAAGAATTCTCCCCGGTCACTTCTGTGACATTTTATAAACAAAACTCAATCTAAAGGACATAAATAAACAAATAAATACTTCACTAGACCTTCCGCACCAACTGTCAAACATGTCACTGTCACCTCCCCCCATCCAGGGTTGGGTAGTTATAGGCTTACAGTTTTTATCTTATATAATATGTCAGACTAAAGTTAGGAGAATATAATTTGCATTGCTAGAATCCTTGCAAGACAGCGAATAATTTGAATACAAGCGTCATATATTTTGCACGAGATAAAATTTTTAGCCCTTTGTTATAAAATTATTTAGAACATGTCAGTTCAGTGACATTTTATATGAGAAAAACTTAGTCACTCTCAAGGAAAGATAAATAAATAAGCACTAGACCTTGGCATTAACTGTCAAACATATCACCTCACCTCACCTCCCTCCCTCCCAACCCCCCATCAACTGATCGCTAGTAAACAGACCATTTCACGTCCCATAATTTTAGCTGTGTTGATTTATGAGTGTTTGTTTTAACATAATACTACAAAATGTTTTGTTTATTCTAGGAGATGGGCTGAGGTGCATCTGGGTAGACTCTCAGTCTTTTTAGTATTTTGTGTTTCTCTGGAGTACCAAACATGGACTTACTGTACCTGCTGTTATCAGTACAGTAAATAGTAGATAGAAATATTAAACACAGTGAATTAATATATAATTACAGTAAAACCTCGATAAATGGGACTTTGTTTTTTTCAGACTCTGAGATGCTCTGGTCGCCAGAAATACTAAAAAAAGATTTAAGAAATGGGGAAGACTAAATAAAAAATCTTGTGAAATGAACAACACTAATGAATACTTTACAGTGATCTAATCAGATTTGCTATAGGCCTACTGAGAATTAAGACACTTGAGAATGTAAGCAGGTTGGGGCTGATCAGTTGTTGCAGCATTCTTCAGGTTTATTTATTTACCGATTCAGTACAGTATCATATCCTCATATGATTGGCCTCTTGTGGTTTATGGTTCATCATGATTAATATAACATCTTCAGTAATAGAGAAAAATACAATACTGTAAGTAATTTGTATTGACTTAAAAATAAAAAGATAAGCTGCATCAGAAGGTAATTTATTGAAGATGCGTTCGTGTGAGCTTTCAGTAGACCAGCTTACAACGGGGGTCACTATAACACACTGTACAGTGTTTGATATGAAGATACCTTCTTAAAAATGTTATTTACGACCTTTGAGTGTTATACGATGACTCAATTTGACTATTTGTACACATAGAATAAACCTCGGTATATGTAGATGCATAATAATTTACACTACAATATTACTTATTAAGTGATGATAAATACATTACTGTACTAATTTACTAAGTGTTGAAGACAGACATTGTGGTAAGCTGATCAGCTGTTTGCTCTTTGTAAACAAATGAGTATGAAATGACTAATGGTATTCAGTGTGGGATTTTTTTTCAGGAAAGTGGATTCTTTTAGGATAATATTTTATCAACCTGGCATCAAATGATCCTAAATTATATGACAATTGTGGTGGAATGTTAGAGGAATCTTATGGGAGAGGGAGCCAACCGCTCATGCTACCCCCCTTCACTCTGCCAGCTGTTCCCAGACAAACAATCACCTTCCACATACACTATACATCTCCACTTATTTGTTCTTATTTTTATCTTTATAGTACTGTACAGTATATAGTTTTACCTTTATTCATAGGACAAATTCTGTGGTTTCTTACATATAACACTTTACAGTAAATAACAATCATCTCGATGACAACAGTTGTTGACAACCAGACTTACTATATATGTCTCATTTTCAACCCAGAGTTATGTTTCTTATTTTTTTTATTGTTGAGGTAACAATGTTTTAATAACCTTGTTATACACTTAAAGACCTTAGTTGTTGTAGTGCAGTAATAACATAACTGATTTTCTTTAAACAGTTCAGATAAGCAGCGTTATCTCCAACCCCCCCCCCCGCATATATTTATTCGCTTTTTTCGGACTGGGGTCTGCCCCAATTAGTCCGATTTACCGAGGTACACTACAATAAACCCTTGATAACTCGGTATTCGATATCTCTGAATTTCATATAGTTCGGCACGGACGTGGTCTCAGAATTTATAATAAAATAACTCGGGAAATGCAAAGTGATATAAAATTATCTGGGAAAACCTAGGCATATTTGGCTGCATGGGTAATGTTGCCACACTCCACCCTTGGTCAGTCTGGTGTTTATAATTGTTGTGGTCAGGTGTGTGCTGGGTCAATCCACGTGTGAAGGGAGGGTGCTGTAGCACCCCCAATATTTTGGGTATAAGGTGCTATACATTGCACCACAGAGTGCCTAGAACACCAGAATTAATATTCAGCATTTCTTGGTAAAATTTGGTTCCTGCTGTACTGACCCAGTAACACCCAACAACCTCCCCCCATTCATGTTAGGCCAGCCACTGTACGCACAATGTCTCCACTATTATGGTAAATTTAATGTTGCAGACTTTATTTAATTTTCGGTTTACAGTAATATCTCTGTTAGTCGGAATCCCTCAAACTCGGAACGCTCCAATAGCCAAAATTAAATTTTCCAAAGGGAAAATTCCGAGAAAAAATCCCGATACTCGGATAATTCCGGGGAAGGGGGAGTTTTCCGGGTTTGAGAGATGAAAGTCAGGCGCACATTCCAGAAATTCCAAGAAAAATTTTTCCCGTACAGTATTTTGAAAATTCCGGGGATGGGGGATATTTTTCCGGGTTCAAGGGACAACGTAACGGGCAATTTCTGGAACTTCCGAGAAAATTTTTCCGTTACCCAGATAATTCCGAGGATGGGGATTTTTTCCGGCTTTGAGAGAGTCGTCTCGTCCCCCGGAAGTCTCTCATTCCCGGAAGTGCTCTGCACTAATTGTTCCGGCTAATGGAGATATCGCTTAATTCATTTTATCTGAATTCCACCTACCCGAATCTTCCAGGTATCCAAACTTTGTATAACTGACCAAATTAAAGTTAGCATGCATAAGTGCCCGCACTGTTTACTGTTTACGTAGCTTCCCCCTCCGTCACCTGCAGTGCTGGTAAGTGTTACTTTTTGAAAATTAGTAATTACACGTGCATGTATATGGGCCGATAATGTTTTATTGTTGTATTATTGTAGGAGGGGAAGTGCATTGATAATTCCGAATTTGGGATAATTCGGCATGGTCAGAGCCCCATAGGTGACGAGTTATCAAGGCTTTCTTTATCTTACAAATCTAAAATTACAGATGGCGAGTGAATAGTGTGTTCTAATTCCCATACAAGTATAGCAATATCCTGTGTGTGTACAGTAATTCTTCAATGGCACCTTAACAAGTGTCAACTTAAACCTGGCAAGACTGTAGTGCACAGAACCCAGTCAAGTGTATCCTATACAGTACAACTAAAATATGACAATACAGTACTAGACTCGCTTAATACACCCGGGCTCAAACATTACTGACATCACTGTACATGGTGAAGAATGTGTGTTGTGACTAACAAGTGGCGGTATGTCCTTCATCTATCATCAAAACTATTCAAATTTTAAGTCTCATCTAAGTTAACTGGAGATAAATTCTGAGGAGTGTAATGTCATAATAACAATGATGTCATATTACCAAGATAATGTACAAAGGAATTATCTGAAGAACTCGTGGTTAACTGATTGTGAGAACAAAAAACAAAAATACATGGCTTAAATGACTATACAGTATCATATACGGGTCAAGACGGGTCAGACGCACCTGGCGCTGCTCAGCAGCAGCCACGTCAACTGTTATGTTGGCCCATACCAACTCCCTCCTCTGAACCCTTCTCCCCACCGGAATATCAACAAGTTCTCGCCAGAAGGTACTATTTCATTTGGGAAAGGAATGGAACCAGTGTTGAATAGTGGTGAACAGTGTTTAAGTCAGTGAAAAACAACTCGGCAGTTGAGTCTTACCCAAGCTAACCTTCACACAATGAGGTCCCAGGTACCCAGTGATAATTCCCCTGAGACTCCACGATAGAGAAGCCTGGGACCACACCTCCCCCACTTGAGTGAGTGAAGTCCTGTGACAACTGACCACGTGGTGTCCACATGATGCAATGACACCACGTAGTGAATGAGTTGCTACAGCATCATGTGACATTCCTCATAACACCATCTGTGAGGGAATTACTACACCATGTGATGCCCCTCATAACACCATCTGTGAGGGAATTACTACACCACATCAGGCCCCTCATACACCATCTGTGAGGGAATTACTACACCACATAAGGCCCCTCATAACACCACCTGTGAGGGAACTAGTACTCCACGTGATGCCCCTCATAACGCCATCTGAGGGAGTTACTACACTACGTGTCTGCTGTTCAACACCTCAGCTCACATGATCTACGTGTGTAAACATTAATCTGTATGTTCACTGTATGTTCCTTCACCTTTCTCTAATGAAGGCTTTTGTTAAACCACCAATGTATGTAATAAGTCATTTATGTCCAATGTATATTTTCAGCCTTCGGGCTGCAAACTTTTTCAATAAACCGTTTATTATTATTATTATTATTTATTATACATAACACTTCTCTTAAAATTTCATATTATTGTTGCAAATTGTACTTGGGACACATTTTGAAAAACCATATTGACATAAGCAGTAGCTACTTCAGTCATATAGCCAAATCAACACCATTTACAATTTAAGCCTTTATGGACCTCTAAGTGCTCACTTGATTTTTGGCCTACCAGTCTCTAGCTTAACAACCTACAACTACGTACAGCGGGGACGCTAATTTTAAGGTGATTCATAAAGGGTAAAGTAGTGAATGGTCTTGTTGGTGGTCTCTACTACTGTAACAACTACCGTACCTACAGTACACTACTTTATTGGAAATGGTACCCCGAGACAGAAAGAATGGTGATAAAATTTACTGTGCAGTACACAGACAAAATAGCATTATCTTACCTGTTTCGCTCCCTTGGCACACTTGACACTTGTCACTGACTGCGCTTCTGTTGAGTCATCCAAATCTCCTGTGGATGTTCCAGGCCAGGTGTGAACTCTTTTCAAAGACGCCGGCGTTTCAAAGTCAAACTCGTCGAAGGCTGAGGTAGCCGACGATGTGCTCTGACTGGTCGGCAAAGCCGGCAGAGTCTGTTTAGAACCGTCCTCCTTGTCTTCTTGGTCGTGCCACTTGTGTCGGTACGTCGCACGTTTTTTGGCGTCCCGGTCGGCGTCTCTGCTCTTAAAGATACTTCTCTTTTTGACCAGAGGAGGCTGCTCTGTTTTTTTTACACCTTCACTCTCTGACTTTGTAGAGTGACCTGGCTTATAGGACTCATAGGAGGAAGTGGTGGATGTCTGTGAAGATATAAGAGAACCCTGAGTTGAGAACAGCAAATCCTCCATTTCCTGCGTGTCAGCCATAGCAGTTGAGTCTTTGATTGCCAGGCCACTGGGAGCGGCACAGTCCAGGCTGGTACGGTCTTCAATTTCATTTTCGTCAAAGTCCGTACTGAACAGGTCAAAGGTGTCACTCTCTCCGTCCCCAACGCCAGACGACACCTCGGGACTCACGCCTCCCCCAACTGGCGGTGTTTTCTGAGGTTCCCCAAAGTCACTTGAGCTCATACCAAATATATCAAAATCATCTGCCAAAGGACCTTCACAAACTTCCTCACTTAACACATTTTGCCGCGTATCAATGTCAGATGAAGACGATACCATATTTTTACTGATATATTTGTTCAATTCACCTGATTTTGAGAATTTGGAACCATAAGATCTTTTGACACCACACTGAGGCGGCTCACTGTTTGATTTGTTCCCTGAAAAACTAAAACTATCATCAATACACATATCTACAGGCAGGCCAGTTCTCTGGTCCATGAGGCCACCGAACTCGTAACTAGAATCCACGGCCGTGTTTAATGTCCCGTTCGGAGAGTCCAGTCTATCTGGAGAGTGGTAATTAGCATCTCTCGACGGAGTGGCCTGTGAATCTTTGTACTCGGGTAGTGGGGAGGCGGAGGGTGCAACCTCCTCCGAAGAGTCTCTGTTTTCCTCACTCAAGTCTTTTGTGGATGGAGAACTGGCGACACTGGTAGAGGCGCTGCCGGGGTGGGAATCGTCACTGGGCAATTCGACCGTGCTCGAGTAAGTATCCTGAGAACACGAGGCAACATTTCTGCTCTTGAAAATCTTTAACTTGATTCCACTACTAGACTTTGAACTGGTAACTGTTTCAGAATTGTTTGGTTTGGTTATAGCACTCGTCACAAGCTTATCAAACACACTGTCCCCACTCACTTCAAGGCCACTCTTTACTGTCCCTTGGCTTGAGTCTGGCGTCTCAAAAGATGACAGAGGAGGAATTTTCATGCCGTACAGACCGTCGCTCACCTTTCCCCGGGCTTTATCCACCAGGGGCTTGGAAGGCTCCGATACCAGCTCAGTATGCCTACTCTTGAAAAATTTTCGAGGTTTACTGAAGGTTTTAATTGGAGGTCTGACCTGAAGTGAAGCCCCATTGGCAGGGTTTCCACTGTCAAAACTGTAGGCATCGTCCCCAATACTTGATGGTGGTGACTCCTCAAGATATCGTTTACCACTGTCATCTTTGCCTGGGGGTAAGAACATGACATAAGTATATATAAAAAACAATAAAATCAATGTAGACAACATATACCTACTGTACCAATAATGGCCACTTTACCATAATACTCTGCTTTTGGTCAATTTACAAATCAAATTATCCCTGAAATATTTAATGTGTGGTCAACAAAACCAACCCCATGGACAAAGACAGTTGTATATCCTCCCTCTGACCTTGGTATGTTTGTCACACCCATTACCATAAAACGGTCAGCACAAACGCTTGGCTCTCATAAAATCTAAACCTTCTACTTATTAACAGCCACAAGATACCACATCTTAAGACCTGTATATCATGTAAAAATACTCACAATTTTGGTAAACAACACAGTTTACTTACATTTCAAACACTCGCGATAAACCTTAATTAGAATCTATCAGCTCATTTCTTGAATACTGTATAAGTAAGGCAACTGATATTCCTGATTCAGAACAAGACTTTTCACTGAATATCCTTTTAAGCCAATCACTGGTCGTGGAAATCCCAATTCATAGTTGTCTAATGGTAGACCCTGCTGCCATATGGCATCACGAAAATTGTGACCAAGTTCCAGGTTGCTGATCTGACTTTCTGCTTCATTTACACACAATTGTTTCTCAGTTTTTATCTTTTTTTTCATTTTTGTATCTTTAATTCTTTATTATTAATATTACAGCTAGACCCTGACTTATGACTGCTTCGACTTACGACCGTCGGGACTTACGACCGCCGCAGTTGTGACCATTTTTTTTTCAAACGTTTCCAGTTAATGTAGTCTCCATGTATAATTAGAAAATTATGGGGGCCCCATGTGCATTCAGCTGATTACATTAAAGGTAAGTGCTCAGTCACACTATCCATTCCTCATTATTTATTACTTTTACTGTTCTGTATTTCATTGTAGATTTTTTATTAAAAAAAAAAAAAAAAAAATTATTTTTTTTATCTATGTCGGACTTACGACCTAGATTTGGGTCCCTAACCCCGTCGTAAGTCGGGGTCTAGCTGTATTATTATTATTATTATTATTATTATTATTATTATTATTATATGTACTAAAACGTTGAAGCAATTAAGGAGCAAATTACGGAAAATACAATCAATAGAAGATAATTTCAAAAGGAATGAAATATACGAGAAAAGTGAAACAATGAAACATTACCATCATGTTCTCATGAACACAAAATTTACATATGGGAAAGATAGGAGTAGGTGGAAAGATTCAGTGTATATGAGGTTAAGATTAGGATATAAATATTATTGGGAACTTGGAGCTGAGAGAAGTGAACAGGATAAAGAATGTAGAGTTTGTAGAACATCCAGATCCCATACCCTGCCACATTATATACTGGAATGCCCATATAAATAATGTCCCCATGCAAATAGAGTGGATGCTTAAAAATAGGAAAATAGATGAAATATTAAAGAAATATAGAAATTTAACTATGTACTATAACTGATTTCTCTTTTATCACAGAGTAGCTTCCAAGGTTTACATTCTAAAAATATATTAAGGTAAATATAATACATTAACTACATGAAGGTTCTTGGTCTTCTTACTGTAGCACTTAGTTAACTCTACACAAATAACACTTCCTGTACACAAGTACGGCATCTTGAAACATCACCAACACATTATTAAGCATCACTGTTGCCAGGGAGGATGACCCATCAGAATGAGGCAACACTGTAGCCAAGGGAGGGAGGGAGCACACCACTTGGGTTGCCAACTCTACTACATATCCAATTTTTGAAGAGTTTGATGCATGGGGTGATTTTAAGGGAAGATCTTTCTCAGTTTATGACGTACAGCAGGAAACGTTAAGTTTTGGTTTGACGTAAAGTAGTGTCGAGATCCAGGAAGTGGTAATAATTTGTACTGAGTAAAGGATCATTTAATATTTTGTACCGTTTGATAAACAAGTTCTACAGGTACTATAGACTTTCAAACCCAGGATGCTAAAAACCAACACCAAACCAGTTTTGAGGATTCTTGGAATTGGTGGGGTGAGTCATCTTACCCCAGGCTGGTCGTACATAAAATCCATAAACTATACTGTAGTCTATTTACCTTAAATACAGTACAGTATTTCAAAAGCTATGTAACTAAAAACAATACGAATATCTTATTAATACAAGTGACCAAAAATAAAGATAATCAAAGTATTTATTCCATCTCAGACAAAATTACTTATCAACTCCCTACTTCTAAATAGACTGGATTATGTACAGTAAACCCTTCATAACTCGACAAGGATACGGTCTTGGAAATTATTAGTATAACTCGGGAAATGCCGAGATATATAAAATTATTTGGGAAAATCTTGGCATATCTAGACACCTGTGTCACCTACCATGCCTCTGTGTCTCCTACCATGCCTCTGTGTCTCCTACCATGCCTCTGTGTCGCCTACCATGCCTCTGTGTGTCCTACTATGGTACACCATTCTTTGCCTCCAGTACTGGTAAGTGTTACCATTTTTACATTTAGTAGTTACATGTACACATACATTAGGGGGCAGTGAAATTTTGCTCAAAGCTGCACTCTTCAGGCATTGTTCCTTATACATATCTAAGACTCCATGCCAAATTTGAAGCTGATATGTCGAGGTTTAGTCGGCCGCATTTTCTACTGAAATTTTTTAATTTACCTACAGTACTAGCCAAACAGCCGCTGTGGCGGTGCAATGTTCTGTTCAGTGTTTATCAACTTTTTTTTCATATCTCTTATTTCATTTAAGTTGTCTTGTTGCAGATGAGTATGGTGCTATGTCTATATTGATTATCAGCCTTTTCTCATTTCATTTCTCAATGTTGTGTTACTGTACTGTACTGTACTGCAGACTGCAGGGGATTGATGACATAAGTGGCAGATGTGGAAGGACCAGAGTAATGACGAAAGCGCCAATCCGGACAGGCCAGGGAGACAGCTTGAGCAAAAATCGTGGTTGTTATAATCATAGTCGTGGTTGTTATAATCATGGTCGTGGTTTTTATAATCATGGTTCGTGGTTGATATAATCATTAGGGCAGTAAATTTTGTCAGCTGCACTCTTCAGGCATTGTTCCTGATACATATCTAAGACTCCATGCCAAATTTAAGCTGATATGTCGAGGTTTAGTCTGCCGCATTTTCTAAAATTTTTAATTTACTCTGACAGACACCAGTTCAGGAACCGGACAAGACTCTACACTGGCTGCCGCTACCGATACTTGATTAGTGATTATGCTGGGCTGCCGTTGTTACTGCCACCTTAACTGACTGGCATTATCACAAGGATGACAAGAGTCAGGTTATTGGACCACATAAGCTGCGGGATGCGAGACAAAAATACCGATTTAAGAGGCAAGAAATTGAGATGGCTAGTTTAGATAATTTAACGTCACTCTATTTTGGTGGTAAGATACCGCCACTCGTGTGATGATAAAGAATGAAGACCGAGAAATGGAGTTCGAGGATGATGGTGAAAGATCATTATGTCATCATGGTTGAGCCTGGCAATGAATATCTCCATGTGACTCCCAGACTGGACACGGAAAGCAGATTGCCAAAACTATTCACGAGTTTCTGGTGGAAAAATCTAACCCATTGTGTGTGTTGGTTGTGATGGAACCAATGTAAATGTAGGATCAGAAAATGGAGTCATTCATCATCTTGAAATGTTACTTGGTCACCGGCTCCATTATTTCTGTCAGCTTCACGGAAATGAGCGCCTTCCGCAGTTTTTATCACTATGATGGTAAACCAAGTGGTCCTGAGCATTGGCGTGGTCCCATTGGAAAGCAGATCAAGGAGTCTTTGTCTGAGCTTCCAGTTGTCGCCTTCAGCCAGTCAATTTCCTGATTTCCTGTGTTTTAATGATAAGAGTAGAAGATCTGTCCTGGGATCAGGAAATACTGTATAGGATTTGTAAAGGAGTTATCACAGGTGTTGTTGAAGATGACTTGGCTGCTATTGAGCAGGTCCTCCTGTGTGTCAAGTGGAACACCTTATGGAGTGAATCTCCAGGCTGTATGCATTATCAAGACCCAGCCATGAGGTTGAAAAGAATTGTCATTACAATAATAAAGTTCAGTGCTCCAATGTGGTTTACATCAAGATACACCCTTACGCCACACGGCTCAAGGGCGTGTTCCAGTCCCTGCTATATATAGAACACCTGAATAGTGAGGAGAACGATAGTAAGAAGGCTGTCGAGAAATGCATACTTCGCCCACACAGATCAACTTCTTCTTGTGTATGTGTGCAGATGAGACATGACTGTTAGAGAAACTGTCTCAATGATAAGAAAAATTAGAGAGGAGAATCAGCAAGGAAGAATGCACTGGCAGATCTAAGAGGAGGAGGAAATTCTGATGCTGCTGTTGACGAATTTGTTAAACTATATTGATGAGGAGGGTAAAGATGGAGATGGGAATGAGGATGTGCCTCCTGTAGTCAACATGAGAAAGGTGGTGACTCCGAAACTAAAGTGGCAAGCAAAAACTATCATTCCATGATTAACTGGAGGAATGAACTCAAGACTGAGCCTCTTACATTGCTTCTCTGTCAAATCTACAGGTTAATGACATTCTTGAGACACCAATTAGTGGTGCCCAAGTGGCCAAACAGCACTCGGGCGATCGAGAGGCATAAAGTGATGACTGAAGGCACTGAAGTGACGGGATACGAATCGAGAGATGGATATATTAGGCAAGATTATTGTCTAGAAATGATGCAGGTTCCGCAAAAAGAATTTCAATATGAACTTGTAATGATTTTCCTTACGGTATACCTGTAAAATAACATGTGAATTAAATCGATGTCACCCATGTAAAATTTATCATTATCCTGAAAACATTAAATGACACCTAATTTTGGTATACACTAAAGTTAACAAAGTCGTTCGCGATGCGGCAGGGTACGTATGCATGAAAGTCACGAAATTTTGCACAGGTGTTTGTTTGTACAAACGATGCCTGAAAAGTGCAGCCTGCAACTCAAATAGTGTTTTCCTGCCTATTAATCATTGTCGTGGTTGTTATAATCATAGTCGTGGTTGTTATAATCGTCGTTAGTTGTTATAATCATAGTCTGTTGTTATAATCATGGGTCTGGTTGTTATAATCATGGTCGTGATAGTTATAATAAGTGTCTCCATACATATATGGGTCGATAATTTTTTATTGTTGTATTTTTGTAGGAGGGGGGGGGAAGTGCCTCGATAAGTTGGAATTTGGGATAACTCGGCAAGGCCAGAGCCCCATATGCGCCGAGTTATCAAGGGTTGACTGTAATACTTATTATTTACTGCAGGGGTTGCCAACATGTCACTCATGTTAAGAACCCCTCATCTACAATACTGTACTGTATGCACACAATGTTTTTAATTTGTTTTGTTATTTAAGAAAAAAAAAAAAAACATTCACGTGACTGTGTGTGTGAAAAACCGTGTGAGACAGAAAAGAAAATGTCCAGTTTATGAGAATCTTCAGTTTTCTAAGATCTGGTTTGTAGGTTCTGTGCCTGTAACTGTCCTGTAAGAGTCAAAATATAATTCTTTTCTTTAAAGTGTCTTAATTTATGACCTGAGAGTTTCCCCCAAACCCAACTGGTCAAACCACTAACCAAGTCCACCATTGATGCTTCGTAGCGACGTAAATGATGTAATCCCCCATTTGCCCACGTGGCCGGCTGTCTTGGTGGCCGATGGCTTGGTACTGCTGCTGCTGCCCGGCTCGGTCACCAACTTGTCAAACTGACTTATAGGCGGCGGGGCAGCTTTTTTACGACTGTATGTTCTGCTGTATCTGCCACTCATCTTGATGGATGCTCTGTCAAGTACAACACAAGATCATTGTTAGCCATCAGAATTATAAAAGAAACAATTGTCAACGAGAGAAACTTAACTTTAAAGATACAATTTCTTTACTTTGGTCTAACATACGTACAGGTACTGTATATTTAAGGCTAACCAACACAGATAATGGTATTAATAATGACGTCATATACTGTGATTTAGACCAATCCTTCAAACAATATTTATATTAGAAAAAAGAAAAACATACATTTGGTGAAATAATATAATAATGAATATCCACTTACATGTAATATACAGTACAGTGTAAATGAGACAGTACATTGTGTACTCTCCACTGTGGGCAAACAAATAGGAAACTGTCCAGGGTATCAGCATTATATATGTCACCCAAGATCACCACACTAATGAGGTAGACAACCCACAACAGTCCCGAGGGGCACAACTGTTACTAACATATCCAGAGAGAGGTAAAGGCAACGGTACACTGGGCACTTTCCTCCAAACATGTTGCCTGTTTTGCTGGCCTGACAGCCTAGCAAGCAGCAGGATTTTGTCTGTTGCAAGAAATGGACAACGGTTTGGCTGGGAGCTTTGCTGGCCGAGTTAGTGCTTCATAGTAGGTGTTGAATATCCAAGTAAAAATTTAAATAAACTACAAAACAATAGTAATTTAAAATACCTATATAACACATAATATGGTGAAATGTTTCTAGTGATTCATCACTTTAAAACTTCTTTAATACCTGTATTATTAAATCATTATTCGGGGTCTTTGACCAGCCAGCCGCTGCCACTTGTAAACAAACTTCACAAGACACCCATTGTGTTTTCTTTAGCTTTGGCAGATGCCTCACTTGTTTCATCAACTGAAGAACTATAGCACAATCCTGCAAGAATTTGCCCAGGCTTTAACAGTTCAGCCACAGAAAAATGGTACAATTTTGGGGTAAAATAATCCAAACGATGGTGATGGTAATTCTTTCTGGGAAAAGAGCTTAAAATAATCTGTACATCTAATGCAGCCTAATTCAAAATGATAAATAATTTCTTTCATTATTAACCCTTAGTTGGCCACTCGTGCGGTCCAAATTTCACCCATAGACCAGCCAATCTCGCTGTCATAAAAAATGCATAGAATTTTCATGGATTTATTTTTCACCACTATTTATGGGTAAAATTATGTTTGTTTTTTTTAATTTAAAAAGATAAACTACCTGTATCTGATTAAGTGACAAAAGACCAAAATAGTTGTATAGTACACCCAAATAATCTGTGGATTTTTATTTTGCAGTCCTCTATTATTCGTGGATGACACCCGGGATGTACCCAAGAATGTGTGTGGGTAGTTTTAAAGTTGCTGGCATTTTCGTGGCTGGGACAGGGAGCCATTCATTCTAGAAACAGTAATTTCCTTTACCTGTACAGTAATCTCGTGTTTTTTCGCATTTTTTATCGCAGTTTTGACAATTCTCGTTTTTTTTTACAAAAAAATTATATATACCGTAAATTGCGGCGTATAAGTCGACCTCAAGATTCTTAGATAAAAATTCAGGTTTAGTTCTATACTCGCCATATAAATCGACCCCCCCAAGGCCCAAACAGGCCAAAGTGTGTAATAAGGCCACGCCACTTTCATCAAGACACTTACCGTAATACCTTTCAATATTTGATATACTGTACTGTATATATTATATAGTTCATACAAAATGGTAAACACCAAGCCAAAATCAGCACCTCCAATAAAATAGTAATTGTTTACACAGCACACCAGTATAGCACCTTGACAGTGCAATCTATAAATAGTATGATAGTAGAACATTATGGTACACCTGGCTTACGCTCCGCCATTTGCACCAGCTGTTGTAAACAAACTGCCAGTGGTGCCACCAACACTAATCGGCCAGCTGCGAAACTATGGGTCCGTTACACTGTCAGCGGCACGGCTTAGACTTAAACTATCATCCGCTGCAGCACCGTTGTTTGAAGAGTTTGCAAACGCAACAACTTTCAGCTTGAAACTTGTGTCATATTTCACCCTTTGTGCTGGGGGAGCCGTGGGGATAAGATATTTTCAACTGTTGTCAGGTTGGTGTGTGGGTAATGAGTGGATACCAGCAAGAGCATAAAGCCACAATGGTTTAGTAAATTGCCATGTAGGCTTGTTCAGTGTATCCCCCAAACACTGAACAAGTCTACAAGTAGAAACCGTCATAAATTTTTTTAAAAAATGTGGGATTTCAAATGCAATGGATGGGGAAGATGATTTGTTGTGGCGAGACAGTGACGAGGAGGATGTCAGCAAAAATAATGAAGACGAAGTCGGAAGTTCCAGTGATTCAGACCTCTTTATGTTAGAGGATGAACAGCTAGCAGACTTTGAAGGATTTTAAAATGTGATCAAACATGGTTTTATTGTAAATAAAATATAACTTTGAAGTAAAATTAATCTTGAAGTGAAAGTTTTAACTTTTTATCTTAAAGTTAAGGTTTTAATTAGTGCCATTATATATCATTAAACTGTCATTACCCCTGTAGTGTATGTGAACTCACAATCTATAGCACTATCATAAAATTGCGCAGATGGCACCCGTATCATAGTACCGGGCAGTTGTCTGGCTGGCTGCCTGGGTTTAGTGGCGTTCTGATCAATTGTTTACTGTCCATCAGCTGTTGAAAATGGCGTGTGGTGTTGTGTTCGTTTAATTATACTGGAATTTACTATTTTATTATAATCTTTATGTTAAATAAGTTTACCAAACATGAATTTCAGCAAGAAATATTAACGGCAGGGAGTTACGCTAAGTGATGCACAACGAGTGTTAGGCAGGCTGTTCCACTTGTTTACTACTATCTGGTACAGCTTCACATTTTATACTCTTGAGTATAAATTGACCTCTGGTTTTGGAGAGATTTTTTCAAGCTTAAAATGTCGACTTATACGCCGCAATTTACGGTATATAAAATATCATTTATAAACAAAAACTTAAATTTTGCGCCATTTTCGAAATTCCCCTGTGCGGTGCGGCAATTAGATGCCACCCCTTCCAGCCTCAGACACCAGCTGCTCTGACAAGCCTCAGTCCACACGTGCCTACCGTACTGTGAACGCTACTGTGATTACCTCTTCTGTTTGTCCTCCCACGTGCATTCCACATGGCTCCAGAACGTAAGCCAGCCTCATCAAAGGCAAATATTACTAGCAAAGACTCTAAAGTGACTAAGAGATCAAGAATAGTGATGACCTTAACGGAAAAAACAGTTTTATTGGACAAGCTCAGAGGTGGTATAAGCTATGGCTCGAGATGTGGTTTAGACTGACAATTCATTTGTGTCTTTGTCAGAACACAAGTCTTCAAGTGGAGGAATGTGGGTGGAAGAGGACTGGCTGGCTGGGGTGACTGCATGAGGGCGGGCAGATGCCGGGACAGCAGAGAGAGGCTGGCAATGCGGGTGTTGCCGACCTCAGCGAAATATATTTTTTTTTATTTACTTGTAAATAAAAATGTTTTGTATATAATTGTGTTTACATTTTTCCATTATTATACTACAATATGATTACTAGTAGCTTTAAATAATGATGTTAGTAAATGCCGGTACAATGCATCAGTGATCAGTGTGACCACTGGGCCGTGAGTGGAGAGCATGGCGTGGTTAAGTGCATGACCTACCTTAGTTGTTTGGTGGCCACAGGTACAGTGATTCCTAAAAGAGTATTCGCGGTTTTGGCTTTTCGCGGGGGATTCAGGAACATAATTCCCCCGAAAAACATGGGATTACTGTATTGTATATGTGTGTGTGTGTGTAGAGACACACACAAAACACTTACAAATAAATAATAATGGGAAAATCCTTTCACAAATAATCAGAAAAAATTTATTAAAATTGCTGAGTCTACCCTCAACTCCATGTTTTGTTATTAATAGAACACGGAGTAGACTTGAGGGTAGACTCAACATTTAAAAAAGAAAAAATTCTGTATATATATGAGAGGATTTTTCCATTATTACCTATTTGTACAGTCCGTGTAGTGTGTGTGTGGACACATACACATATACAATACAGTCAACCCTCGCTTTACGCGGTCCCACATTCCGCGTTTCCATGTTTACGCGGTACCCTGCCGAAACCGGAATGCTCACATTCCGTGGTGCGTGTACCCCTTTACGCGGAGAGCGGCTGGCGAGCCGCGCCATTTTTGGATTCAAACCTCCCGCCATGTTGTGTAAGCGGCGCGAGCAGGGTGTGCACAAGGTCGCCCAGTCATCAAAACATTACCGAGTTCTTCACCCGCCACCCACCACAGCCGGCCCAAGTCAGTGATAGTGATAATGATAGTGAGGATATGGTTTTATATGGACTTTGAGGGGTTTGACAAAGAGGCCCTGCAAGCCTCTGTGGTGGATAGTGATACAGGTGAGGGCCAATAATCTGCCCTCTGCCTCGGAACCAACCCCCCATCCCCATGTGCCCAGCCATCTTTTCTACTAATGTAAGTGTTAAAAAACCTAATATTATTGATATTTCTCTTAATTATTAATTGTGCGTGCATACCATCATAAAATTAAGAAGTTATTTTCACTACAAAGTAGGTATTGTATCTGAAAAAGTGGAGTTTGGGGGTCGGCCCAGTCTCTATTTCAATTAATCCCATATGTTATGTTGTTCACTTTAAGCGTTTCTCATTTTACGCGGGCCGCCGCGGGTTGAATTAACCGCGTAAAGTGAGGGTTCACTGTACAGGTAAAAGAAATAATTGTCCTAAGGGCAAACATAATTATTTAGATTTCTTTGTACATATATGTATCCCCCATCCCCCAGTCAACAAATGCTATTGGCGGATTTGACGATTCACGGCCATTTTGAGAACCTAACCCCCACGAATTTGAAGGGCATGCTGTATACAGTAAGTGATGCAGTAGTGGTTGGCTAAAAATGAGTGTAAAGATAATATCTTATGTGCTGCATCTACAAGTGAGTGGCCTGGCCGATGTGAGAGCTTAAGGTCAAGGGAGA